TAAAGCACAAAACAACAACTGTTTCAGAACTACTTAGGACTTGCAGCAGTTCTCCAGCGCATTCAAAATTAAAATATTAGCCTATTGCTGTTTTGTCAATGTGAAGGCAATAGACTGAGAAGTCGCTCATTATTGATAATACTTTGGTGGTATGTAGATCACCTCGCATCACCTGGAGTTTACGCTTCCTTATTCCTGGAGTACGAGAGTCCACAGCACGAGCTCCAGGGAAAATCCTGAGGCCCCTAATCCAAGCAGCAGAGAGGATGAGAAGAGCCATCTGACACTGAGCAAAGAAACTGTAAGGAAGCGACCATAGACTGTACAAGGCTCGGCATTAACAGTTGTCCGTTTGCCCGGGGGCAACTAAAGATTTGGGAGGGAAAAGTGGGCTGTCTTAGCAAGTTGCCCCTTTCGGCCATAGACTGTATATATTAACGGATGTAGTCACGCCCATCTCCGCCGTTCAAACTAATGGGCCAAAAATTGGGCTCTCATGGAGTAATTCAAAATGGCCGCGGGGGCTGGAAAATGTGAAAAAACGCATCTGCGCATGCGTCAGCTGCACGAGCCCCATTCATTTAAACGAGTGACTTCAAAAGTTCACAGCGACTAAACTAGACTGGTCCAGAACACTCAGCATTGACACACATGTGGAACGGAGCTTTGGGCCAAGAGACAACTTTTGGACCATCCTGTAAAGGTGTTTTCGAGAGGTCAGATAATGCTATATGTTAGCATTGGCTAATTCTTATTCCGGGTGCACCCCCATTGGCCCGGGGTGGTATTGCAGCATGTCAGCGCACGTCATTTTGGCCACTTTTGAGCCGGGAACCGCCCCCACTTGTTTCGGCAAGTGATGTATTACTTTAACCCATTCAGGCCGGGAACGCATTTCATCCTCTAAGGCCCGGAGAAGACAAGTCTGTTCATCTTTTTTGAGCAATTCTCTTTGTTGGGCTGACAGTGGATTTTTTAAATATATTTTTTACACACAGTGTCACTTTATTGCCAAACTCTTGGTAACTCATTGTATTGAGACATATTTGGGCAAGTAACTTTTGACATTGGGCAAGTAAAATATAAATGGTACTTGCCCTAAGGGCAAAAAAATTGTACAAAATGTAAGGTTAAAAATGGAAGTTACTTGTGGGTCCACCAAACTGGATAATTAAGGACAAAGCAATATCATAGAGACCAGCTGGTGGCTCCACTTCTGAACTTCGTGTGAAGAGGCTCCTATGGATGTGGGCCACTCTCAGAGAAGAGTCACAGCCACATTGCATTGTTACTGCCACTGAGGCAGCGCACAAGTTCTCGAGAGGAAGCAAATGCCACACAATGAGAGCACTAAAACATTGCTTTGGTGCAATGACTTACTCCTCAAACTGCCTCAACACAGATCTACCGCCTTGACCTGTGCACTCCTCCTGCTGAGCTGTCATTTGAAGCTCACAATAATTGTTTCTGCATCAGAGTTTCCATAAAAACCAAATTAACAATCTATGCATCTTCTCTTTTTCTGACAGACTAGGGTTGATATTTCTTGAGCATTTCTTCATTATCAGAAGAAGGCCCAATAAGAATTATTATTTTGGATAAGAATGTACAGTTTATTGTTCATATAGAGAATTGATAAATAATTGTTGTGAAATTGCTTGATGGAATCAATGAAAAAAACGACTTTGGGCATGTGTATGAAGGCAAAATCGCACTGTGATGTTTAAAGCATAGAAAAGTAGAGAAGCGTAACATTGGACCTAAGAGAAAGAGAAAAAACATCAAGATCCCCATGACCTGGAAATAATCAACATGTTTCATCTATGTAAAACGAGTTCCCAAAGTTGAGTAGTATAGTAATCTCTAGGGCTATGACAATATGTTATGGGTGTGTTTTAGGCACATTGCGCCTCCTGTTCGGCGACCTCGCTCCCATCTCTGTGTGGAGTGAGAGACAAATGCCCAAAAAATAATAACAATTGTAAACCGCTTTGTGACCCTTGTCTGTGAAAGGCGGTATATAAATAAACATTACTTACTTACTTACTTACTTACTTACATTGTGGAGTACCGATCATTTCAGTGACGTCCACCTTTTGCAGCTATTTTATAGCATGCAAATTGTACCACCAGTTCTGTATTCTCCCCAAAGTACAGGGATATTAGAATCAATACATGTATACTAGCCAGCCCAATGCTGCTAGTGTGAGGCTGTAGACCCAGGCTTGTTGATGACGCGCTAAGCGGCTATGCTGTGGTTGCTCTGTTGTGCTCAATAAAATCCTCCAAGTCTTCAAAGGGTACGATGCAATAATCTTCATTTATTTAACAGTGCTATTAAAAGGATCCACAGTGGTATCACACGAGCAACAGTGAAAAACAAACTCCGCTTGTGCGGTCAAAAACCAATTTGCCCTTCTGGGTCACACCTGCACTCAACCCTGAGCTCATGATTCATATAAAAGATGAATGCGCCCCCTCATGGACACAAAGACCAATTACGCAAAGAAAAACACATATTTGGCTCCTATAACATGCAAGTAGGAATGTAAAAAACTATGAATTTTCATGACCGACCACCAAGCCTCATTAACCGGTTGAAACCGGTTAACCGCATAGTTTAAAATAGTTCTTTGAAATAACAGCCATTTCGAGCCGCATACTTCTCATAAGAGCAGCTATACGTTCTACTGGATCAGAGCCGAGACAGCGGCGCCAAAACCCACAACATCTTCGGCACCTTTGAGCACAGAGAACTGCTGTTTTAATCTTCCCATTCTTCTGTGCTGCGGGTTGAAGCATTTTTAAGCAAAGACGGCTCGTTCACATGGTCAGGGCAGCGAGTGACGAGCCGCGTCTCGCAGGTCTCCGCTAAAGTTTAAAAGTGATCAGTGTGGAGCTGATGCCAAGGACCAGCAGCACAAACATGGTCCATGTGGTTTGACTGGAGCCGTGTATTTGCGAGGATTCTTTTGGCTGAGTGACACAGAGGAGAGCGACAGACCGGTATGTGTGTGTGTACAATACATGTATGTGTGTGTGTGTGTGTATGTGTGTGTAAATATAAGTGTGCAACTAGCAGACGGTATACACTAGGCTTAACAGAGGGGAGAGATGATGCGTGTGGATGTTAGGTATCGAAAGTGTGTGTGTGCTAGTGTGTCTGTGCGCGCGTGTGTGCGTGTGCATGTGTGCGTGTGCATGTGTGCGTGCGGCGAGAGAGTCAGCCCGGAGTTTACTGATACATTGGCGCACACAGCTAGAGACAGACCCGCTCGTCACATCGTGCAAATAGGGCTTACAATAGCGTTATGAAAAGACCTCCCCTCTCCCCTTTTTCTTGTTTTTAACCGACAGCTTTGACCGGTTAACGCTGTGACGGTCAACCACCGGTTAAACGGCCACCGATTTACATCCCTACATGCAAGATGAGACCTGCAACATTTGGCAGATAATTCATAGGTGTTCTTTTAGGTAGATTGAGGAAATGGACTCAAATTAGTTGAGAAACATCTTAAACACCTTCTGATTTCCAGAAGTTTCTGCCACATGGAAAGCATAGACTGGATGTGAAACTGAAGGAGCGAAAGCAGAAACAGAAATGTCTGTCTACAACAACAGAAGGGGTGGGGGGGTGACATCCATTCAAAAAAATCAATCAGCAGTGATCATCAATTAAAAGTGAACTGAGAATTGAGTGCATTTCAGTCAACAAATATCAACAATTCAATATACTTTTCAAAAACAGAAATTCAAAGGTGAAAGTTGTATGCGTGTGGAGGGGCTACTTCTGCTGGCCTGTTGTACATGTAGTGCTAATGTAGCCGTCAAGGACCACAGCATATTTTCTATTTATTTTGATTGAAAGCAGCATCAATGCACTAGTCTTAAAAACTCATGCGGGTCACAATCCCGTCACTGCACATGGAGGATGGCAGAAAGACATAGAGCCCAACTCAACCTCAGCAGAAAAGTGATTCAAACATTTTCCCCAGATATTTATTATCCAAAATAGCACATTAAATTAATGAAATTAGTGAAAAATAACTGCACAAGGAGCGGTTATGCACAATAGATGCACCTGGAGAGTCTCCTGCTATATATAATAACTCACTAGTCTCCAGGGCACAGAGACCCAGTGGGAGGGTGTGACTGTCCACACTAACTGACTTAGCCTGGTCGTACCACACCATAGTACAAATTACATTTCATACTAAAGGTCTGGATTTGCTCCTTTGACTCCGTGAACAGGTGGGAGGGGTTAACTCCTTTTGCAGATTGAAACGATTGGATCCGAGTTTACCGTGACGTATGTAATGAGCCCGAGTGTGTTGTTAGCATTTAGCATTTAGCCTAGCCATCTCCTTTGCCGCTAATGGAGCCCGTGGGGAGTAGCACCTCAATCTTGACCAGCGATTACATTTGCGAAACATTCCTCTTGCTGCGGCCTCAATTTCTTGATCGAACCAGACCGGATTACTTTACTATTGCATTCTTCGCCACTGCAAAACTACAACCTGCCCGTTCGGCGCAAACTCTTAACGTCACCGGCACCGACCTACAACACCCGCCTTCCGCGCTCTCTGAGTAGCCGGTCAAAATACGACCGATTGTATCCGTTAATACAGGGACCAGACCCAGACGGTACATGCAGTGAAATGATGATTGAGCGGAGTGTACGGATGGATAATGCCAGGCTATAACTGACTGGACTCTGCATCAAACAAATCACACACATTTTGGAAAAAACCCAACTTCAAGCCAAGAATGATGCAAATTTTTGGGATTCTGCTCAACCGATTACTGCCACCATAATAATGCTCTAGAGCACACCAACTGCACAAGAGTAATGCTCAAGTTTGCAAACTCAAAACATTAAGAATGTATCATGTAGTCACAGCCATAAACATAAAAATCTGAATAGCAAAACATTTTTACAAAAAATGTATTAACTTGCATTTAAAGAATCATAAAAGGTTGCAGAGACAAAGCTGTCTTACCTGGGATACACTGAAACTGACCATCTTCTCGTCGTATGGTGAAGGATTCGCCTGGGTTTACCTGCACCAGGATTACCTGCGTGGAGCAAAGACATGTTAGGACTAGAGTTCAGCCATCACAGTTCATCCTAACAAAGACTTGACATTTAAGCCTTTTAATTGAGTGGATTGGAAAGAATAACTGTACATTTCTTTAACACTTTTATACATTGCAAAGTATTTGATGTTGGTATACCATGTAGATGGGAACAGACAACCCCCAATCTGACCAGAGTAGTGCTAAATTGATGAAGTAAACTATATTACGCAAAATATATTGTGTATATACTACAAATACAACAATAGTGCTATTATGTATTACATTTGTAATAAATTAACATTCTCAGCATAGTTTGTACATGTATGTTAAATAGTCAAAATATTGCATCAGAATAAAAAAATCAGTCAAAAAGTATTGAGAGAGGCCAGAGTATATTGCAAATAAATTACACTAAATTAGGATTAAAATGTTTTGATTTAAAAGCATTCTATAAATTGAAAAAGTTACGTTGCATTGCTCATGTGACACACATTTAATTAGTTTGAACACATTTCCAACAACTAGATTTTAGGTTGAAATATGACACTGAACCACCAATAAGTTACAACCAACAAATAATGTTATCATGAAACAATTTTTGAAATTGATTGAAACTCTGTCCACCAAGTATATACAACAAGACAAGACAAAACAACTGAAAACGAGAACACGCTGAAGTCTAGTTCATATAAATCTAGTCTTTATAAATCAAGCATGTACAATCAAAACTTCCACCAAGCAAATCCCAGATGAAATGTCAAAGTGTAGAAAGCGTGCACTAGAGACCAGCCCACTCCATCAGCCCCTGTCTCATGTGAACTCCACCGCCTTTACCTCGCTCTTGTGGTAGTCGTTGTCATAGAATCTACTGTCTGTGAGCAAAGGGATGTGGCTCGGACTCTCCCGGACAACAGAAACCGTCAGCACCTCCATCCCTGCCTTGCTCTAACAGCTTGAGAAGCCTCGGGACTGGCCTCGTGAGCTCCACGTACACCCACACGAGGAGCGTCCGCGTCAGCACTGGACCCTCAGACAAGGCGGAGGGGGTAGGAGGAGGAGGAGGAGGCAGCAGGGGGGGGCATAAGCTAATGACAGGAGGATGGGAGGGCACTGGGGTCTGATAGAAGCAAAAAGAAGGTGGTGGTTCTAAAGGCGTAGCTGTCTTGGATTTCTCGCAAGAACGATTCAAAATTTAAGCCATTTTTTATGATTAATCCGGACCTTTTAATGGTAGATTTAATAATAACTGATCACTGAAAGTTGAGTATTTGTTTCTGTAATGAACGCCGAGATAAGCCCCATGGATAGGAGCCATCATAACATTATCCTTCCTTGACTCATTATCGGTTGCAGATAAAATTACACCCGAATGCAGTAATTACCGGCAATGATTGCACAAACAAGACCTAAAGCCAAACCAAGCCCTGTCAAAATGATCTTCCTTCAGGGACAGAAGATGGGTAAACATATTGATAAAAGCTCTGAAGGAAAAAACATGCAAGGTTTATTGACAGAAGCAAGTTTTGATGTCTTCACCGGTTGAACATTTTAAATAACTTATGCTGTTAAACTGATTTCAGGAGAAGGATGAGGGGGGATATTTTTTGGGGGGGGTAATGCTTTCTCAACAAAACCGCTACTTACTGTTGCCCGCATTGCTTTGTCTCATTCAGGCGATGCTTCTGTTGCGTTCACAGAGAAAAGCAGAGCGATGATGTTGTGGGGTCGAGCAGACCCTTCACCACCCTCATGGGGGAAAATCACATGACATGGGCTGCTAACACATCTGGCAGGGCTGCTCTTTCCTGCTCTCCTACACAAATCCACAAAGCAAAGGGCGCAGAGGGAGTGGATTGTGTTTTTCAAAGGGCTGATCCTTTCACAACCCTTACTTGAAGCGTGGTGTTGCTCTCATGTTTGCTTAGCCTCATCTGCTCTGAGGCGGCATGTCCCTCTCTGCAGCATGCGGCTCTCTTGCTCCTGCCTCCCCTTCGCCAGTCGCCACAGCAACTCCTTTAACAAATAAGCCAGGCAATGTCGCTGCCAGAGCTTCGGGGGAGCAGGGCACAGAAACCTTGTCAGCGGTGGCTGCTCCGGAAGAGGGAAAGAGGATGAGCCAAGAATGACAGAAGCTAAAAAGGCAAGACAAAAATCAAAATGAGACTTGGGTTGGAGTCTCTGTGCCAGCTCTGTTCGCGCCTGCTGTGCTCCATAATATGCTTAGTTTCAATAGCATTCCTTCAGGGTGTGATCATAGCACAGCTAAAGTCGGCAAAGATATAAAAGGTTCCATAGCGCTGGGACTCCTTTGTTCTGGCTTTTTTCACAACAACAACAACGGCGTGAGAAAGCTGGAGCGACCCACGCAGCTACTGAAGCTGACATATACGACTACACTACAGTGCTTCTCCCTCCCCTCTCCCCATCCTCCTAACTCACTCACTCTCTCTCTCTCATTCACACAGCAACATGCCGCACGCCCTCTCCAATACTCCGATCGATGCCAGAGAAGATGAGGTGGTAGGAGTTCAATTGCAGCCTCGTGTTTCCCTACTGTCTTGGAAAGATCAGAAAGAAGTCCGCCGAGCGCCAAAATATGGGGTTGTTTGCCGAGCGGTGCAGTAAACAGTGCATGCAGCTCCTGGTTGCTTGCCTCTGGAACATCTGCCCCCATTCATTCTAAATGGATTGTTCCTTAAAGCGACAGCGCTGATTACTCCATCAGCGCGTGCCAAGTTCGAGGATACTCTGCGTCACTGACAGTGCTCTGAAGCAGACCTGGCTAATGAAATAGCCACAGTTCATTTAAGTCAGAGCCACTTTTGCACCAACACTAACGCCACTGACAAAGTAAAAAAAAATCCAAAAATTAAAAAAAAGAGAAAAGTACAAACTTCTATGTGAATGTTGTCACTTCACAAGAAAGTATGTACCAGAACGGCAGCATAACTTGAATACAGTGGGGCAAAAAAGTATTTAGTCAGCCACCAATTGTGCAAGTTTTCCCACTTAAAATAATGACAGAGGTCTGTAATGTTCATCATAGGTTCACTTCAACTGTGAGACAGAATGTGAAAAAACAATCCAGGAATTCACATTGTAGGATTTTTAAAGAATTTATTTGTAAATGATGGTGAAACATAAGTATCAATAACAAAAATTCAACTCAGTACTTGGTAATATAACCTTTGTTGGCAATAACAGCGGTCAAACAATTACTATAGGTCTTTACCAGGTTTGCACACACAGTAGCTGGTATTTTGGTCCATTCCTCCATCCAGATCTTCTAGAGAGCAGTGAACACGGACTTTCAACTCCCTCCACAGATTTTCTATGGGGTTGAGGCCTTTAGACTGGCTAGGCCACTCCAGGACTTTCAAATGCTTCTTACGGAGCCACTCCTTCGTTGCCCGGGCGGTGTGTTTGGGATCATCGTCATGCTGGAAGACCCAGCCACGTTTCATCTTCAAAGCTCTCACTGATGGAAGGAGGTTTTGGCTCAGAATCTCACGAGACATGGCCCCAATCATTCTTTCCTTAACACGGATCAGTCGTCCTGTCCCCTTAGCAGGAAAACAGCCCCAAAGCATGACGTTTCCACCCCCATGCTCCACAGTAGGTATGGTGTTCTTGGGATGCAACTCAGTATTCTTCTTCCTCCAAACACGACCAGTTGAGTTTATAACAAACAGTTGTACTTTGGTTTCATCTGACCACATGACATTCTCCCAATCCTCTGCTGTATCATCCATGTGCTCTCTGGTAAACTTCAGACAGGCCTGGACATGCACTGGCTTCAGCAGGGGGACACGTCTGGCACTGCAGGATTTGATTCCCTGTCGTCGTAGTGTGTTACTGATGGTAACCTTTGTTACTCTGGTCCCAGCTCTCTGCAGGTCATTCACCAGGTCCCCCCATGTGGTTCTGGGATTTTTGATCACCGTTCTCATGATCATTTTGACCCCACGGGATGAGATCTTGCGATCGAGGGAGATTATCAGTGGTCTAGTATGTCTTCCATTTTCTGATAATTTCTCCCACAGTTGATTTGTTCACACCAAGCTGCTTGCCTATTGTAGATTCACTCTTCCCAGTCTGGTGCAGGTCTACAATTCCTTTCCTGGTGTCCTTGGACAGCTCTTTGGTCTTAGCCATAGTGGAGTTTGGAGTCTGACTGTTTGAGGCTGTGGACAGGTGTCTTTTATACAGGTAACAAGAGGAGGACAGAAGAGCTTCTTAAAGAAGAAGTTACAGGTCTGTGAGAGCCAGAGATCTTCCTTGTTTGAAGTGACCAAATACTTAATTTACTTAACCATAATTTACAAATACATTCTTTAAAAATCCTACAATGTGAATTCCTGGATTTTTTTTTCACATTCTGTCTCTCACAGTTGAAGTGAACCTATGATGAAAATTACAGACCTCTGTCTTTATTTTAAGTGGGAGAACTTGCACAATCGGTGGCTGAATACTTTTTTGCCCCACTGTATATGCAAATGCTATCCATTTGAAGTAAAGTCAAAAGAGTAAAAGCGAAAAAAGAGCTAATTTAAAATGTTACGCTTCCAAACCAAGTCATTTAAGAACACGGCCATGTCTCAACCAGTTCAAACATCCTCAAACTGAAGAATATCAATCACATCTGAGCACACATGACTTTTTGGGCTCAGAGCGGATTTTTTATATTTTTTTCCACACTGCTAATAAAGCTGTCAAACTGTTCAGAACAGGCTACTTGCTTCACTTATTAACTCTTCATTGTTATTTTCAATGCACTTTTTACTTTTCATAGGTTTGTAAGCAACAGTTTTCACACATCTGATTCATTTTGTCCAACATTTTTAAGCTGTAGACTCCAGTCAGATGTGTGTAATTGATGTTTTAATTTTTAGTTCACTTTTTAAATCACTTAAATCTTTCAGGAAATTATGCAAGTATCGAATTATATCAAATCGTATCCCATTGTTGGCGGAATATTGTGATATATATTCCAAAAT